GGGGTGAAAGGTTTAGGGGTAGAAAAGAAACCCCTTCAGGGGGTTTTCCACTCGTTTAGAGAGTTTGGGGGGGGGGGGGGGGTGCTCGTTGCCTGGGGAATCTCCTCCGCAGCATACTTGATAGTTTTTCCACGGGGCGACCAGCCGGTAGTTGTTTCATGTTCGGAGAGATTGTGTGTGTGAGTTGGGTTTATCGATTGACGGCTTATGTGTCGCAATGCTTCTCGAAGGGGTGTGCGTGACGAACAGAAATATATCCTAAATAGTTGTGCTGATAGCCATGGCGACTTGCTGTCCACATGTGCGGCTTACAACTCTCTCGCTTTGGTTCATGTTATGGCCAAAAGCGTGTTGACTCGCTTGTGCCGGACGCTCAAGCTGTCTGACTATAAGTGCTGTGTGGTTGTGCCTTTCATTCATCGTGCGATATGTGGTCGGCACGAACACATATTGCAGGCCCTGCGATCGTCCCTGTTCGAGGCGACGGGGGGCAAAGCCGCGGCAGAAGAGCGGGTCAGACAGCTCTCAGCGGCTCGGCGGGAGGCAGACGATCGGTTGGAACGAGGGATCCAAAAGGTGCGTCTTGGTGCGATTGACAACGTCTTCTGGGTCTCCTATATCGCACATCATGTTGGGCGGAAATCTTCGCAAACAGTACTAGCGAGCGACCAACCATTGGGTATTTTTGGTGCCGCTCTATTTTTATGGCGCATCGAAGTTACTAACGTCGGTGTTTGTCTGTCTTTCTAAAATGTACACGTGTACACGTGAAAAGCTTGCTGCCCTGGAAACATCGAACGATTTCCTGAGGGAGGAGCTCGCGGAGGCCCGGCGAGAGGTGGGGGCCGTGGAAGCGAGGCTGGAAGAAAGCCTCGCAGGGACCGAGGTAAAGAGAGAGGGAGGGGCGAGGCGTGTGTCGTCTGTTGCGGTGCCATTATTGTTGTCGGTTTGGGACACGACCGAAGAAAATACGGATCGCTCGCGCCTCGCAGGTGATAAGTACAGACGCTCATGACATACATTCCCCCCATTTATTCACTCTCCCTCCTCGCCGACCGACTGCTACATCGAACACTACCGACAACTTCCCTTGGAGGACAGGCGCTCAACAAGAAGCTCTCGGCAGGGGAGCAGGAGGCCGGGGACCTCAAGGAAGGTCTCGGCAGAAGAGACGCGGAGGTGGCCGCACTCAAGGCGGAGATTGCAAGAAATGCCGCAGACACGCAGGCCGCGGCCGGAAAGGCCGAGCAGGAGCTAAACGCCGTCCGGGAGGAAGTGGCGGGCCTAGAAGCGAGGTGACGCTTGGGGTCGGGTTGGACGGGATTTGTCAAGGAAAGTCTCGTAGTACCGTTTTGGTTTGTACTGCCAAGGTCACGCCTTTGCCCCGCGGGTTCGACCAACTGCGAAACCACAGGTTGTTTTGCTTTTGGCTTGTTTGATGGGTGCGACACAGGTGGTCTATGTACGCATGTACTGCATGTGCGTATTGACAACCGGGCGTTCAAAGCAAACGAAAGCTGAGGGATGAACAAACCGAAACTCTGCATTCCCTTGGACTTGTTAGGTTGGAGTTGGAGACCAACGAGTCGGAGCGAGCACGCGAGCAGCTGGAGGCCCGACACGTCGAGGCCACTGACAGGGCAGCGCGGGAGCTGCGTGAGGTGCGTGTCGCTCATGACTCGGAGATGGCCAGCTCCAAGAGCGAGGCGAGCGAGCGGCAACAAGGCATGCTCGATGAGCACCGGCGGGAACTTGAAGACCTCACTTCGAAGATGAAGGAGCTGCGGGAGTCGAAGGAACGGGAGGTAAAACCAAATGCAAGGGGACGGAGAGAGCGCGGGAAGGGAGGGGTTTCGGGACGCTACGGGGTTCACTGTAGGCGTTTTGCGTGAAGCGCCATCCAGCGAGGGGAGTGTGCGCGTAGTATATCTAGTCTAATCAGCGCCTTTGATTGTTATTCCTTGCGTTTGCCGCGCTTCGGCGTGCGCATGCACGTACAAACGCGCAGGCCGCGGAAAAGGACCTACAGCACACAGCCGCCCTTCATGACGCGGCAGCCGCAGCGGCCGAGAGAGAGCGACTGGCGGGAGAAGCGGCGGCTGCTGCTGCCACCAGGGACGCGGAGGCTCTGCAGCGATCGCGGGACGAGGAGGAGAAAAACCGGCGCGAGAGCCTGCTCCGCGAGCAGCGCGCGGCCCTGGAGCTGGCCTCCGGCACGGCGGAGGGGCTGCTGCGGGAGGCGCTGGAAGCGCGGGGCGGGGAGGCCGACCGCTTGCGCCAAGAGCTGGAGGAGGCGAGAGTCAGGCACGCCGCCGAGAGGAAAGAAGAAGAAGAGGCCAGGAGCAGGCTGGAGAAGGGGCGGGAGGCGGAGAGGGAGAAGGCCCACGCTGCCGAGGTCGACGCGGCCCAGCGGGCGCTGCGGGAGGCGCTGGCGTCGCAGGCCAAGGAGGCCGACCAAGAGCGGGAGAGGGCGTGCTTGGACCTCGAAGAAGCGGCGGAGCGGCGGCTCCAGAGGGCGGTCTCCGAGGTGACTCGGGAAGCGGAGCGAGCGTCTACAGAGGCGGCGGCGGCAGCAAGAGAGCGAGAGCTGCGGTTGGAGGCCGCGAGCAGAGAAACCCTGCGGACGGAGCTGGCGGAACAAAGGAGGCTGCTGGAGGAGGAGTTTTCAGAGAGGGATGCGCGGGCGGGGGAGGAGCGGCGGGTGGCGGCGAGGGCGGCGGAGGAGGAGGCCGAAAGCCGGTTCACGGAGAGGGAGAAGGAGGCCTTGGAGAGGGTGGAAGGGGTGAGGGGAGCCGAGGCCTCCACGGCAAACAAGCAGCTTCGCGCCCTTAGCAGGTATTTGTTGTGTGTGTGATACGATGGCGCTACCGTGAACAAACGGCGATCATCTTCTCACGAGCGGAAGACGAATATACGCCCTCGTCCATGACTTTCTCGGTGGAACGGGTAATAGTACTACACATTGACTCCTCCAAGGTTTTGACACCAAGCGGGGTGGCAATAACAGAAGTAGATGTTAACGGACATACGGTTTGGAAGATGTACGTTACGGGTACATTGATGCGTAGCAAGCACGAATGCAGCTAATCTACGATTGAACGGGGGTATGACCCCTGACGAGGTAGGTTGAGGTTGATTCCCCTATACAAGAATTCGGTCTTTGGTGTTTCGTCCCTTGAAACGCCAGGAAAGTGGTCCAGCTGGAATCGGCGAAAAAAGAGGCGCAGGAAGCCTCCCAGCGGGAGTCGGAACGTTTGAGAGCCGCGCTAGCTGCTGTCGAACAGAGGTATGTCGACGACAAGTCTCCGTCCAACGTTGTTTCGTAGCACCTCTGCGTGCTCAGGAAAAGGTACGTACGTGCGATCACGATTTTGTCTTGTGTGGTGCTGCTGACGGGAAAGACAGGCAGGCGCGCTCGCAGAGTACGCATATAGAACGACGAGCAACCACACAGGCATTCCAACTCTTCATGAGCCCCCCTTCTCCGCCTTTGTTCTGTTGTGGTTGGCGGTAACGGTGGTCGCGGCTGACCCATGACGCGGACAGATCGAAGGAGGCCGAAGATCGCGAGTTCGCTGCACTAGCGGCAAGGGATAAAGCCCTGTCGGCGGCCAACGAGGAAAGGGGAGAAAAAGAAAAGGTTAAGAAGGCGCTGAGGGCATCTCGAGAGGAGGCTGCGAGGGAAGGGGAAGAGGCTGAGGAGGCGCTAAGGGCGTCGCGAGAGCTGGCCGAGAAGGCAAAGCAAGAAACGAAGGCCGCGGAGGAACTAGCCAGGGTCGCTCGAGAGAACGCCGCCGAGGAAAAGGAGGCCGCCACGGAGGCGTTAAGGGCATCCCGACAGGAGACCACGAGACAGAAAGAAGCGGCGAAGGAGGCGCTGCGGGTCTCCCTAGAGCAGGCCGAGACGGAGATTGTTGCCGCCAAGGAGGAGCTGAGAGCCTCTCGGGAGGATGCCGAGAGGAAACGGGAAGAGGCTGAGGAGGCGCTGAGGGCCGCTCGAGAGGAGGCCGAGACGGCGAAGGAAGAAAGAAAGACCGCGGAGGAATCGGCCCGGGTCTCTCTGGAGAAGGCGGCTGAGGATCATGAATCCCTCAAGGAGGCGCTAAGGGTCTCTCGAGAGGAAGCCGAGACGGCGAAAGCGGGAAAGAAGACCGCGGAGGAATCGCTTGGGGTCGCTAAGGAGGAGGCCGCGAGAGCCCGGGCGTCCGTGAGGCAGGTGTGCAGAACGCACAAGGTGGTCTTTCTCCCTCGAAACACAGTATTTACAATGTTCGCATGTTTGCGTGACAAACTACGGATGCCCCAGGAATATAAACCTCCGTGTGCAGGACAACCCACACAGGTGTTCTTGTGGCTTAGCATTGGAACATATCCCATGAGATTTCGATCGATCACAAGCTGATTGGCATGATGTGAACAAGTGTGTCATCCGCTTGATGGACGTTGCCCTACGGCTCTCCCGAGCTCGGTTTTGGAAACAGCAATAAATTATCTTAACATCTGCCCGAGGGCGTTGTATTTCTGTTCTGGAACAGTTATTAGCGCTTTCAGCAACATGTCCATGAGCTGACAGAGCTTGGATGATGACAAAGTCGTTTAAGGAGCCGGCAGAACAAGCAGAAGGCCAAGAAACTTAGCAAGAAAACTAACATTAGCGTGATATTGACAACGTGAACAAGCGGTGGAAACCGCAATCGGCGATTCCCATCCAATACCGAATCTAGAACATTAGATGACGCCAGCCGGCAATAGATACGGACGTCATCGAACGTGGTAGGATCGTGATCTTTCCTACCGTGAAGAGCCGTCGTTTTTTTCGGGGGGCGACAAGCTATTCTCGTCGTCATGATGCTCGAAAAGGGCTCTGCCGTTTCCCTCATAGGCCGTTTCCCTCATAGGAATATCTCGAAGCCAACGTCAGGATTGTGAGCACTCCTTCCGTGGTATGATGGCTGTTACGTGGCCACAACAGCCCCCAATTGAGCATCGACGACATCAACGAACACAGCAGAAGCGACGTCAACAGCAACAAGGACAACAACAGCAACAGCAATAGGAGCTGCAGCTGCTGCAGCAAAAGCACGGCGTATCTCTGCGCTATATACACACCTGCAGCAACGGGCGATAGGGCCGAACATGGCCTCAAGGTGTAAAACCTTCACCGTGCCCAAACCTTGGAGACGTTTCGATGTTACGGTGCTCCATGTGAGGTATCTCCAAAGCGGCGACACATCGACAAACAGCCAAGGAAACCAACGAAAAAGTCCGTTTCCACCGTTCACCAAAGACCCCGAACACACGATCCACACAAAACAGGAACTCGATTCTTCCCTGGAAGAGGCCTCGGCGCTACGGGCAGGGTTCACTGAGGCGGAGAACCGCTTCAACGATGCCGCGGGGGCGGCGGAGGCGACTCGGGAGGAGCTGCTTTCGGAACAGAAGGAGGCCTTCGTGGAGAGGGAGGAAGATCTGCAGCGCCGCGTCCGGGAACTTCAGGAGGTGCGAATTGATGTTGTTGTTGCTGCTGCTGCTGCGGCTGTCGCAGCTGCTGTATCCCATTGCATTTTTCTTGTCGCTTTGCTGCTGTCGGTGGTGGTATTGTTGCTGGAGCTTCACCAAGATTCCGCCGTGTCTTTCTGTTCTGTTTATTCCGCATTGATCAATCTCGACGGCAGGAAGCCATCGCAGCGGCGACCGAGCACGAGGCGGCCCTGACCGGGGAAAGAGCCGCCGGCCTCCAAAACCTGCAGTTGGAAAAGGTGATGACACGAGAAGACTGAGAAAGCAGCACTGGAAAGAAGCACGACAGTAGACACAAAGAAGGGAAAATGAACAATACCCACCTTCAATTCCAAACGTGTATGTTAGAGTAGACCACGCGGTCTACTTGAAGTGTCTTGCATGCCTTCGAGCAAGGCCGTTTGTTGTTCACTGCTACTGTGTCGAACCAGCTTCAACTCAGAACCCTGTGCGCGGACGTCGGAATCTAAAGTCAATGCGCCTGGATTACCCTTTCGTCGACTTTCTCGCGAGCAGTGCGTAGCTCCACATTTGCAGAAAATTTTGTGTTTCACCAGCACTATCCGAAAGGGCGTGGGCTTCGTCTGTCCATGGAGCTGACTCTTTCGATGTCTCTTTTCATCCACGATCGACAGAAATTACTGTTGTGTGGCTCTGTTTTCTTCCTCTTTGTTTCATTCCCTCTGTCTGTCCGTCTGTCGGTCTGTCTGTTGTCCCTCTGTCAGGAGGAAGCAGCGAAGCGCGAGCAAGAGCTGGACGAAAGAGCTTCCGAGCTTGAAGGGGTCGTGGAGTCGCTCAGGCAGGACCTCGAGGTGGGTCGGGGTGGAATGTGGTAGAGTTGGGTCGAGAGGTTTGGGCCCGTCGAAAAATGAACGGACAGACGAGAATGTCATCCCCCGTACCTACATGTAGAGCAAGAAGCTTTTTGAGAGGGGAAATGTGCTCAACATTTTATCGGTTTCTGGCTTACGTTTCGTGAGCAGGAGGCCGTGGCGGAGAGAGACGAAGCCGAGTCGGCGGTCCAGAAGAGAGGGGATGGGGTGCGGCAGCGGGCGCTAGGCCTGGCGGCGGAGCTTCGAGAGGAAAAGGCACTGAACGCTCAGCTGAGGGCCGCATCGGAGGAGGGTGAGTGCATTACGCCTCTTCGTGCCCTCCAGCAGATTGACCACAGCATGTGCCGGAAAAAACGCAGCTTGAAATTAAGGCAACACAAGGGGTCCATCCGTCGTTGTTCAGTTCACACACCGCACGCCATCTAGACAAGGGTACGGCCCAAGCTTGCGGGCGGCAATGGGCCTGATATATCGATCGAATGCTGTATGTAGTTCGTTCCTCTTCAGGGTTTCGTCGCCGCACCGAAAGGTGGTGGTCACACTCGCGTCGCTCCTTTGGCGGTCGCTCGTGAGAATCCGCCTCTCCTGAAAGAATATCACGGTACAGTCCTCCTCCGCACGAATTAGTGGCGAACGAGAACGTGATGGCTCCGTTTGCCCATAGAGAGGAGGACGCGGGGAGAACGACCCCCCCCATTACCCCCAAGAACGACCAGATTCAAGGAGAAGCGAGAAACGAACCCTCTGTGCTGTTCTCTCTCGCAGTAGGTATAACTGTCATTATGGGCCTCGGCGTCCGACTCTGCGTGGAGGCTTATTTGGTGTTCGCCATGCAGTAGCCGTTCGTGTGTGCGGTTGCTGTGGCCGTGGGTAGGGAATGCCCATGCCGTTGGTTTTGGGGGATTGTTGTGTATGCTGGTGATTTTGTTCCCTCTGATATGCTCAAACCGGGAGTAGATTTACACCCCTGGTGGATCTTGACACCCGAAATCGCAATCTTGCAACGGTGCGCTGCTCTTGAATCTTTCTATGTCCAACGTGTGCATCGTGCTTCCTCGTGTGTATTTATTATGCGCATCGACCGCGCTAACCGGTTAACTAATGAAAAGACGTGAAAACACATAACACTTCTAAACGCAAACTAAGACCCCATGAGGGGGCAGTATCGGGGAGGCTAAGCTCCTCTCCGGCTTAAACAGAAACGGTAGCAACAGAAGAGATCTGCATGTGTCTACCAAGGCGGCTGCCTTTCACTCGAGTTCGTTTTGGAGAGCTTTCACCGTCATCCTCCTTGCTTTCACCACTATCACTCTCATCGTCATTTTTTCAGCTATTTTTCGGCAGTTCTTCTCTAGCCCTGCGTCGTTTGTTGCGGGGAAGGTCGTCTGGCTCGAATTTCTTGTTCTCTTCCCCTCCATGCTTCCCCCTTTGCTGTGTGTGTGCATGTGTGTGTTCAGCTGCTCTGGACGCAGAAGAGGTCAAAGTGGAGATGACGTCACTGAGGGCGAGGGCAGCGGCGCTAGAGGAGGAGAATCAAGCCTTAGAGGAGGCCGAGCTGCCCGACCTAAGAGGTATGGCCGCTCTGGTGATGTCATCATCGTCGGGTTCGTCGTTGTTATTTTCCCTGTTGTTTGTTGTTGTTGTTGTCTTTTGGTGTTGGTCGTGTTGCATATGACTGTTACCACTACCGCCATCCCTTGATAGCGCCGACTTGTATTTCTCTTTTGAACCCAAGTCCAAATTTTGGGACGCACTTGCTTGGCCACTAGCAGTGAAACCGAGGTTTCTTGAATGCAGGGGTGAATGCAGATACATGAGTCTTGAAGATGACTGTGGCAGAACTCTGCTCGAAAGAAACTACCGATTCCTCTAGGCTTCGATCGGGTCCTGGAGAATAGTGTCTCCATGGGCGCGGCGCAGCTATATATGACGATCAGCCTGAGAAAACACAACGCATGGGCTGATTTGAAGTGAAGTGAAGACAAAAAAAAAAGGGTCCGGTACTGGCTGCCCTTCCGCTATTTATTTTCGCCGCCACTGCCTGCTGTCTCGGCCGTTTTAATTGGGCGTCCCGAGTGTGTCGTGTAAGCTGATTCCCGCCTCATACTTCGAAGTACTCTTGTTTTGTTTCGCATGAGGTATGAAGCTGTCTCTCTTTCTCTTTCTGCGTTCTGCGTACCTTGGTTAAAACAGACCGTGACCTCGCCAATCTGTGTCTCCCTTCTCATGCGACTAGCTCGACCAGAAGAAAGTTGCGGATGTGCTGGTCAGACGATGGAAAGATGTCTTGCGGCAGAGATAAATCAACAGCGTCGGCCGTATCCGTAAGCCGCGATGGAGCATTTCTTGTTTTCCGCAGGTTGGCGGAAAAAGCTTGGACATATTTCCACCGACCCACGGAATGACGCGCCCCCCTTCCCTCCCGTCGTCCTTTTGGTTCCTCCCCGAATATCGCCCCCTCCCCCCCGATGTTTGTCATCGGGGTTGGGTTTTCGTCGCTTGGCAACGACGTTGTAAAACATGCCGCCCCCCCCGGTGTTGGTCATCGGGGTTGGGTTTTCGTCGCTTGGCAACGACGTTGTAAAACAAGCCCCCCACTCGGTGTTTGCCATCGGGATTGGGTTTTCGTCGCTTGGCAACGACGTTGTAAAACAAGCCAACTCACTTCGTGAACTCGGCAACCAGGTTACCGTTTTTTTTTTTTCACCTCGTTTTTTTTTTTGGCGGTAACCATAATGGTGGTCGAGTAGATCATGTTGTGCGGGGTCGAGAACCCTTACTCCGCGCAACGGGGGATGATCGCACCACGTTGTGTTAAAATGGTCAAGCTTCCTCGAGGCAGTTACACAGTGCTTACAACTGTCTCTGGAAGTGAAAGCACCAGAAAATAAATTAAGTCATACGTAGCTGTCATCCGTACGCAAGGAAGTAAGCACAAGATGCCGAACACCCTTAGCAGGATGCAGCTCACCCTTCATGCGACTCGCCAAATACCTCACGGCGCTTCGCGCTTGGTGATGTGAGAGCCTGGTCCGGTGAGAACCCGGCGTGCTCCGTCCCGGCTTTGTAGGGATGCGAGGTCAATGGTCAAACGACTACGGCATGCACGACTATGAGTACCCCCCCCCCCCCCCCCCC